TTCTTGCTGTGTTTAGGCAATAGCAAATTCTTTGTTAGGTATATAAAGCCATAATCATGGTTAGGGTTCAAATACACCAATTGACTTTTCATTCATTGCTCTGTTTTCCAGTTTGCCATGGTGACATGCCCCCTCTTTGTCCTCTCTCTGTCCCCTCTCTGTCCCCTCTTTTGAACGAAAGAAGTGTTGCTGCCATGAAGTATACTTCCTATTGTTTGCTTTGGGGCCAGGCTGGAAGAAACCAATAAAAAAGGCAGTGGTTCCTCTCTGACCTCTTAGTACCATCTGCACCAGTATTTAAGTTCTTTGGGGAGAGGTCTTTTGTCTGTTCCTGGGGTCAGACTGAAAACTAAAGAGGACAGAACATTTTTTTTAATCAAGGCTATGAAATCAGTTGGTTCAGTCAGTTCTTTTAAGTCACATTTCAAAATATACTTGTATCAGAAAAGCCTTACCCGATTTTACTTGAGCTTAAGTCCCTTAACATTTGAATTCTGTAATTATTGCTGTTATTATTATTGCTATACTGTACTGTGATTTCTTAACAGTTGATTTTTAGCACTGCATACGATGATGAGGAATATTATTATCATTTTGCAAACCTTAGAGACACTGAACAGCAAGTTAACAGCACTACTGGGGTGATGTGGCTTAGGCTGTAGAGCGGGCCGTCTACTAATTGGAAGGTCAGTTGTTCGCTCCGTGGCTATTCCAGTCTGCATCTTGAAGTGTCCTTGAATCCCAAATTATGCACTCCTTTCAGAGTGTGTGTGTGTGATAAAAGTGTTGCAGTCTGTTCATGGGTTTAGCTTGTAGCGTAAAAAAGCCCTAAAAAAGTGTTTAGTAAGTGTAGATGAAAAAATACATGCACCAGTCTATTTACCCTTTTGTTCTGCCAGAGGAAGCTGAAAATGTTGTTAGTATGTCAATATTATTGAACTCAGAGTCCGCTGGGAGTATGAAGTAAGAAGGTGCATAAAGATGGAAAACATTGTAACGTACAGGTTACGTGAGGCTGGATAGTCAAAAGCACATGGTCAAAATTAGGTCCAGACTTGTTGCCAGTTCTGCCAAAAAAATCGCCTTTTTGCTTACAAAATTTGCCAATGTTTTGCTCAATGAATGACAGTGTATTTTGACACTGCACAATTTAGTCAATTAGTCAACCAGTCAACAGTCAACGTGGGCAGTGTATTATAATCTCATAGGAAGAAATTTCCTAGTTCAAACCCCAGCTGGTGTCCTTCTGCGTAGAGTTTGCCTGTTTTCCCTGCCTTTTTGAATTTCCTCTTGGTACTTTTGCTTCTTCCTACAGTCCAAAGACATGCTTTGGTTAGTTTAATTAGCAATTTTAAAGCACTGAATGAATGTATTGTTAAATATGGCTTGTAGTCTAAAGTCCAATGCCAGAGCATTCCAGTTCAGTAGTATTTAAAATAACAGTAAAAATATTAAATCACTCTCTTGAGCGGCTCCTTCTGCATATTCATCCTGTGTCCTCAGTGCTCCCTGTGCCTCCTAAGGAGATTAGCTGCCATATCTTATTCACTAGACGTTCCTAAACAGATCGGTGCTCTGTGGGGCAGCTCCACCTACACTTCTGTTCACTGTGTGCTCAAAATTCAGCAAGTGTCACTCTGTGAAAACATATATATTCCCTGTTGATTTTATGACAGCTTTTCTTCTTCTGCTCTCTCCTCTTCCTCCGTATCATCTATCCTTTTTTTCTCTCACGCTGTCATTCCTCATCTCTGTCCTTCCCGAACATCCAGCTTACCTGTGCATCATACATGTATTCTTGGCTTGCCTCACCATCTGGTTGTGATTAGTTTGTCTGTAGCACAGAGTTTTTTCAGTCTCGTGTTCTGCATGATGATTATTGTCTCTTTACAATCGGTGAAGCCCCCTGTCAGGGATTCAGGGCAGCTTAGCCCATCCCCCCCCCAAATCTGGCAGCTGAGTTAAATACTTAGTTCTCCTGGGCATGAACATGGAGTTATGAGCAGAGTAACAGGTGAGTTCTTTTTGTGCTTCTTTTTCCTCACCAAAATGAAGCTCCTATAGATACAGATAATGTAAAAGCTTCTGAATTTAGGAATTACATTTTATGCTGTCTTACCTCATTTTAATGTTATTATTATTTCCTCCCATTACATGGATAATTATCCTGGAAGCTCTGTATCTTTTTAGTTTACTTTTCTGGACTGACTGCATGATTAGTTGAATTATTAAAATTCATAATTCTATTTCGACCTCAGTCCTCAGTAGGAAATGTGTTCTTTTAATAATATTCCCCAGCTTCTTTTTCTCCAAAATGGTTGTAACTAAAGATCTTTATCTGTACTGACATTTGTGATGAGGTAGCAGGTAGCAAGTTTTTCTGATGATTCTTTCATGTAGAACCTTTTTGTACATAAATGCTGCATGAAAGGAGAGCTGTTGCTACTGTGTCAGCTAAACCGTCCTCCAAGCACTTTGCAGTCACATCAGGGTTTTTGCTTTATCTTTCTTCCCAGTGAATGTGCAAATCTTTCTTGACATCCACAGTTTTATTTCTATATCACATTTCAGACAATTTAAACTACAAGCTATTGCTAAAGCATCAGTAAGCTTGACTTTCACATACAGTTTTATTAAAAAATGAACAAAAATGTAATTTGACCAGATGTTTGCATGGCTTAAGTAATAGAATCTCATTTTGTGTGTAAAATCTTTGGTGAAGAAATTTTTATTATGGCTATGAATCTATTAAAATAAAATGAGCACTAAACTGTCAGGTGATACATATATTTGCATCACATTAATTTGTGGCTTGTGCAGTTTCCCTTCAGCAACAGCCTGGTGGGGATTTTGTCTTCATTTCCCTGAAAATTTGTGTTTGTCCAAGAAGGAAGAAACTATAGAAATAATGCCATAATTACACTGTGCGCTCTAAGCGATTCTATTCTGAAATGACTGTTGTTTTAAACCTACCTCTTATGTTGTTTATGCGCAGAGCTGCGTGCTCTTGTTCCTTGTGGTCTAGTTTAAATGCATGGTGAGTTTGCCATGTTGGCCTGTGTGGAGAGTCACCAGTGATTTGTGTATGAAAGGGCTAAGCGGGTGCATGTGCGTCTGTGGGTAAATCTGAGTCTGTTTGTGTGTAACGTTTGTATGTTAGTTAAGAGATGAAAGAAGCACCAGGCTTCATAATCTTCTTTTGGTAATCTGGGATATTGATGAAAGAAGCAACCAACCATGGTTACCACTTTTCTTAATGGGAATGTGAGTGCTGTAGAGTGTGTACTTTACTTGCGCTTTGTTTTAAAATGTTAATTGCAAGACTTTGCTTCTGACATTGATGCATGTTAAAGTCCATGACCCGGTATGCAGTTGTTATTTCCTGACCTGCTGGCTCAAAACCAAAATAATCAAGCTACATCATCATTATGAAATAGCTGTTCTGTAAGTGTCAGTGGAAGTGGAAGTAAGTGATAATTACACAGTGTGACTTTGCTGCTGAAGCAATCAAATCCAAATAGCTTAAAGTTTAAATATGCATGGTCTTGATGTACTTTGAGACCTGTTGGCAATTAGGAGGATTGCACCACCAAGTTGAACTCAGTTCTGCTCAGTATTAATTGTATCTTTTTATAAGCTTATTGTTTTGGCCCTCCACAACAGTCCCAGTTTCTCACGTGGCCCCTTGGGAAAATTAATTGCCCACCCTTGCTCTAGAACATTGAAATGCAGCTTTGGGAGTGAGCCACTGGCTGTATAGCTGTCAGAGATGTTTAACTGCACACTCTGAAAACACAACTTGAGCTCATGTTGTGGAGTTGCCATAGTGTTGCAGCTCCAAGCTAATTCTTGGGAGACTTGCTATGTGACATTTTGAACTAGCAGACTAATCAAGGATCTGCTACCTGTACACTGTGTTTGTTTCCTGTGAATTAAGCAACTGAGATGAATTCAGAAGTGTGTGTAAAAGCTGTACGGTGTGAGCAGATGGTACAGGATTTGAGCAGGGGGCAATAAAAAGAATTCTAAATCAGTGGTGTAAACAACACAAAGTTCATGTCGCCTTAGAAACCGGTCCATACGTGCTGCATTGTAAATATTCTCAGGATATCCTAAAATATCACAAGTCAGTGTTTGAACTGCACATTTTCAAAGGAAACAGTCAGTCAACTAAGCTTTAAATAATCAGGAGCCTATTTTTTCTTAAAGGCAGCAGCATCTAGCTGGTAGATCATTTGTGTATTCCCATTCTTTAATTACATTTATGAACATGTTTAATTATGTATATAGTATTGAATTTACTGATTATTATTATCCTGGTCAAGTCTGTTTGTGTTTTATTGTCTCAGAGTTTGATCAGTGTTAAAACAGAGTAAAAAAAAAAAGTATTGTAGATGGCATTAAAAGCTCTCTCCAATGAGTTTGACTGTATTGTTTAGTACAATGCTAATAAAATAAAATACAAGCACTGATAAAGAGAACAGAAAAGCTTTTAGACTGAAGGATTAGACAATTTAGAACTTTAATTTTTGTTTTTTGTTTATTTTAATTGGAAATAATTGCCGTTACCTAAACCAAGCAAGTAAGCAAATAAAGAGTGTTGTAATTTCTTTCTTTTTTCATGGCTTTATTGTGTTTGTTATGTCTAGGATGTTTTTTGTTTGTTTGTTTTTTTTATCTGTGACATGATTTATTTATTTTTGTTAAATTATTTCAATGGAAAATAGATTAGGAATTGGGGTTAGCCTCAAATCTTCTGCATTAACAAATTGTGCTACTCAAGGTGTGTTAACCTTGATTCATTGCAAAGTATTACATGTAGTGAAATAAGTATTGGTTGCTCGTTTGTGTTTCAGGTATTGCATCCAAATGCTTCCTGTTCCTCAGCACTGAAGAGTAATCACTGAGTCTGTAGCTGTTACCTCTGGACTGCCACCAGCTCAATGACTTCTACCACAATTTGTAAACTTCCTCCACCATGGTTTTGAAAGTGGCTGCAGAGCCAAAGAAACTAAAAAAGATGCTAAAGGTTCCCAGGCCTGGCTGAAACAGTAACTGAAGTCAAAACAAAGAACTGGGGGAGGCTGCAAGGTGAATGGAAACAAGACAGAACACCACAGCAGGGGTTCTGTTCTGGACCCCTGCCCCGGTCCACTCCTCACCTAATAGCACTGCTGTATCAGAGGATGAGTGGGATGAAGAGGATGAAGAACAGGCAGAAAAAGAGGATGACTTTTTTAGTCAAATGGATGAGAATGGTATCATTGGACTGTCAGGGGCACTTGAAAATGTGGAATTGGAGGAATGCAATTCAGATGGGTGCCCTGAATCCCTCACCCCAGAGGAGGCAGATTATAGTGTGGCTGAGAGGGACACACCGTCTGAGGAGATGATCTACAAGCTGAGTAAGCATCTGTCGCACCATAAACCAACAGAAGAAGATACAGGAAAACTGTCATCCTGTGAGCATTCATTTATAATTTATTAACTTTTTTTCTTGACCTTCATTTCTTAGTTTCCACTCTAAAGCACTTGAATACACCTGATTCTGAGACCTGTTTGAATAACAATTGAATAATTGTTTTCATTTTTTTTGTTTTCTCATATTTTATATTTTCTACAACCTAAAAATAATATGCTTAAGATTATAGAAAACAAAAGAATCCTGACAACTGAATGATAGAAATGTAAATTCCGTCTTTGTTCTCGAGATACTAATTATTTTGTCATCAGGTGATTAAAAGAGGTCCCTGCTTGTTTGGTTCTACTGTAGAGAATAATTTACAATTGTAAAATCTTTACAAATACACACAAAATTTTGCCTGTCTCCCCGTCATATTAGTCTCTTTGGGCAATTTTGAGAAGTCAAAACAAAACGGGATTTAGCCAAATCTAGTGAGTAGGATTGTGGTGAATACTGACATTGTTCAGAATATTTTCCTCACACACCTTGACACATAACAGTAACACTTTTAAAGGGTCATCATGAACAACCGAGTGAATCTTGAATAATGGCATGGATCCCCTTGGTTCTACTCCTCACATGATGTGCCACCTTGGGCTTTAGACAATATGTACTAAACTGCTTGTTTGTTCCTGAGTTGTGGTCTGAGACAAAGCTCTCATCACTACTGATCCGTGAACCTGTTCAGGTCAGTCTAAAGCAGAGAAAGCT